GGCCTTGGAATGACCACATACACTGCCTGGTATTTGATGATTGCGGCCCTTATTCATGGGCAGGTAAAAACGACAAACTAATCTCTCCATAGTTTTTGATTTGATCTTCATCTTTTTCTTATTACTTTTTAACTTGTGTTTTTTCTTTGTCTTGCAGGAAGAATGTGTAACTCACCATGGTCCAACTAAGCTGGTGTTGTATTTCACCGGTGCGACGAACAACCTCTATACTTTCGGGGAACATGACGTCACTGTGTGAGTCTTACGTTATAGTTACTATGATTCTGCAGTAAAATACATTTAGAAATAACGTTTTACATTGATTACAGGGAGATTATGCATGCTATGTGGAAGCCTAAAAAGAATTCAAGTACATATATCTTTTTGCGACCTCTATGTGTTCATCTGAATGCTCCCATCGGCTTCCGCCATGTACTGGGCTTTTGGTGATCAACTACTTAATCATTCTAATGCCTATTCGATCCTTCCGCTTTCTGGGTGGCCGAATGCTGCGGTCATCTTAATGTTAATTCAACTGGTATTTGATGAACCAAATTATTTCTTGGAGATATAGTCTCAGGCACTGCGCATCGGAGCTAATCGATCGAATACCATTACTCTGGGCCCAAAAAAATACAACATCAGAGAAAGGAAAATCAACAAAATATTAGAGGAAGCCTTCTCTAATATATCAGAGCCATGTTTCGATCATGGGACCTGTGGGTTATGGGCCCACCATGCTTCCGCTGCACCGCTCTGATTGTTGGCTTATTTTCGAGTTTATAAATATATCATTTCTACTTAATACAAATGCTAGCAATGAATGAATATATAGTTGCGAATGTTTTTTACGGGTTATAGAAGAATTGGGGGGGGGCTACATCTGCTATAACCTGTTTTTATGGCTTCTCCATTCTTCTTACATGCTTTCCACTTCATTTTTCGCACTCAACTTTCCATTTTATGCTTGACACTGATATGAACAAATCTGTTTCACATGGTACACAGTGTGATGTTAGAGAGGTAGTGGTTGTTAAGAATTTAGTTTGATGCATTCAAAAGAAGCTGATGATATATAGGTATTTATGTCTATTCTTTGACTTTATGTTTTATGGTTCATTTTGATTTAGGTGGAAAGCTGATGATGAATCTGCTGCCAATTGAAACAGAATTGAGAGTAAACTTAAAGAATGTGTTTAAGATGCAAATAAGTACTTGTTTTAAGCCTGGAGGTGGTCATATTTTCAATATTGATGGAGAAACCAATATAGGATTTGTGATAATGCTTTGACCAGATAATTCAGTTGTATTTTTGTGGAGAACTTTTCGTTTAAAAGATAAGAAAACGAATATCTCTATAACTTGCATTGTGCAGTGACATAGGGTTGTCTCAACTTCATATGCCTAGGTCTTCAGTTGTATTTTCCCTTTAAAGGCACTGCACTCTACTTTCCAATTGCCATAAGTAATGTGGTTTATTTTCATGTGAAGTGATGTGTTGTGGAGCATGGCATGTTTGATAAAGGAATGATCAACCTTTGTTAGCATGTGGTTTATAGGATTGAAAGATTATGGTATTCCAGTTTAGCTTAGGATGTAGTAAATATTTCAACTTCATTGCCAACACATTATCTTTTCCACACAGGTTAAGTTTGGTGGTTGTGGAGGGTGAATTTGACAAAATCTGTGCAGGTACATTCATGTCCATTGCTTGAAGAATGAAAAAGATCCTGTAAACTTTCTACATCTCCTAACATCCCATCCCACCATAATTACAATCCCTGAATTCATGTACAAGAAAAGAAACCATTTGATCTACTTCTCCAATCTGAATTGCTTTTGCTGATAAAAATTAAAACTTCAGCAGAGAGAAGAAAAACTCCAAAAAGAAAAAAAAACAGATGAAAATCTTCTTTGATCATATCAGAGCCAGGTTTCGATCCTGGGACCTGTGGGTTATGGGCCCACCACGCTTCCGCTGCGCCACTCTGATTGTTGGCTAGCTTTATGAAGCTTTGCAAAATTTGTTAATGGTTAATACACATTCTAACAATCTAGGACTTGTCATAATTCATAAATGATCAAGATGATTTCTTCCTTCCTTTCTTTTTTCTTCTTAAAGTTGAATTATTTTTGGTGGTGATGTTGCAGGTGGATCAAGTGCCATTAACACTGCCATATTCTTTCTCTCAAATGTGAATGCTTTCTGGGATTATTATGCAGATTTTCTATAGTGTTCTTGGAAGCTGGACAACATAACTAATCAGTGTTCTTTATATTGAATATCGAAACAGAAAGGAGAAAGAGGATGTCAGCTTCAAGAACCATGTTATACATGTTAGCTTTTCAAAGATCACCATCTTCAAATTTTCTAAAAAAAATGAATAATTTTTTTTATTTTTTCTTATACATATGCAGTGGTTTGAAGTGTTGGATGATCTATTGGGACCTTACTGGAAAGCTATTTGATTGGCTTTTAACTGCACTTTTCTTCTCTTTGGATCTGTCATTCAGCTTCCTGTGTCAGGTCCCATTTTTTTTCTTTAATCAATTCTAAATCTTGATGAACTAATCAGTTGATTTCTGGGTTTTTCTTTCTTTCTTCCCTTTAGTTTTTACAGTAATATATATTACATAAATGATAAGTTAGACAAGAGGACAAGGATTTAAATCTTTGGAGCTTGCTGTGCCCCCACAGTGTTCATCCCTTCATTTCACAAGTTTAGAATCTGGTCTTTTCTGGGCCTTGGAATGACCACATACACTGCCTGGTATTTGACGATTGCGGCCCTTGTTCATGGGCAGGTAAAAATGACAAACTAATCTTTCCATAGTTTTTGATTTGATCTTCATCTTTTTCTTATTACTTTTTAACTTGTGTTTTTTCTTTGTCTTGCAGGAAGAAGGTGTAACTCACCATGGTCCAACTAAGCTGGTGTTGTATTTCACCGGTGCGACAAATAACCTCTATACTTTCGGGGAACATGACGTCACTGTGTGAGTCTTACGGTATAGTTACTATGATTCTGCAGTAAAATACATTTAGAAATAACGTTTTACATTGATTACAGGGAGATTATGCATGCTATGTGGAAGCCTAAAAAGAATTCAAGTACATATATCTATTTGCGACCTCTATGTGTTCATCTGAATACTCCCATCGACTTCCGCCATGTACTGGGCTTTTGGTGATCAACTACTTAATCATTCTAATGCCTATTCAATCCTTCCGCTTTCTGGGTGGCCGGATGCTGTGGTCATCTTAATGTTAATTCAACTGGTATTTGATGAACCAAATTATTTCATGGAGATATAGTCTCAGGCACTGCGCATCGGAGCTAATCGATCGAATACCATTACTCTGGGCCCAAAAAAATACAACATCGGAGAAAGGAAAATCAATAAAATATTAGAAGAAGCCTTCTCTAATATATCAGAGCCAAGTTTCGATCATGGGACCTGTGGGTTATGGGCCCACCATTCTTTCGCTGCGCCACTCTGATTGTTGGCTTTTTTTTGAGTTTATAAATATATCATTTCTACTTAATACAAATGCTAGCAATGAATGAATATATAGTTGCGAATGTTTTTTATGGGTTATAGAAGAATTGGGGTGGGGGGCTACATCTGCTATGACCTGTTTTTATGGTTTCTCCATTCTTCTTACATGCTTTCCACTTCATTTTTCGCACTCAACTTTCCATTTTAGGCTTGACACTGATATGAACAAATCTGATTCACATGGTACACAGTGTGATGTTAGAGAGGCATTGGTTGTGAAGAATTTAGTTTGATGCATTCAAAAGAAGCTGATGATATATAGGTATTTATGTCTATTCTTTGACTTTATGTTTTATGGTTCATTTTTATTTAGGTGGAAAGCTAATGATGAATCTACTGCCTATTGAAACAGAATTGAGAGTGAACTTAAAGAATGTGTTTAACATGCAAATAAGTACTTGTTTTAAGCCTGGAGGTGGTCATATTTTCAATATTGATGGAGAAACCAATATAGGATTTGTGATAATGCTTTGAGCAGATAATTCAGTTGTATTTTTGTGGAGAACTTTTCGTTTAAAAGATAAGAAAACGAATATCTCTATAACTTGCATTGTGCAGTGACATAGGGTTGTCTCAGCTTCATATGCCTAGTACTTCAGTTGTATTTTCCCTTTAAAGGCACTGCACTCTACTTTCCAATTGTCATAAGTAATGTGGTTTGTTTTCATGTGAAGTGATGTGTTGTGGAGAATGGCATGTTTGATGAAGGAAGGATCAACCTTTGTTAGCATGTGGTTTATAGGATTGAAAGATTATGGTATTCCAGCTTAGCTTAGGATGTAGTAAATATTTCAACTTCATTGCCAACACATTATCTTTTCAATACAGGTTAAGTTTGGTGGTTGTGGAGGGTGAATTTGACAAAATCTGTGCAGGTACATTCATGTCCATTGACTTGAAGAATGAAGAAGATCCAACCTGTAAACTTTCTACATCTCCTAACATCCCATCCCACCATAATTACATTCCCTGAATTCATGTACAAGAAAAGAAACCATTTGATCTACTTCTCCAATCTGAATTGCTTTTGCTGATAAAAATTAAAACTTCAGCAGAGAGAAGAAAAACTCCAAAAAGAAAAAAAAATAGATGAAAATCTTCTTTGATCATATCAGAGCCAGGTTTCGATCCTGGGACCTGTGGGTTATGGGCCCACCACGCTTCCGCTGCGCCACTCTGATTGTTGGCTAGCTTTATAAAGCTTTGCAAAATTTGTTAATGGTTAATACACATTCTAACAATCTAGTACTTGTCATAATTCATAAATGATCAAGATGATTTCTTCCTTCCTTTCTTTTTTCTTCTTCTTTAAGCTGAATTGTTTTTGGTGGTGATGTTGCAGGTGGATCAAGTGCCATTAACACTGCCATATTCTTTCTCTCAAATGGGAATGCTTTCTGGGATTATTATGCAGATTTTCTATGGTGTTCTTGGAAGCTGGACAACATAACTAATCAGTGTTCTTTATATTGAATATCGAAACAGAAAGGAGAAAGAGGATGTCAGCTTCAAGAACCATGTTATACATGTTAGCTTTTCAAAGATCACCATCTTCAAATTTTCTAAAAAAAATGAATAAATTTTTTATTTTTTCTTATACATATGCAGTGGTTTGAAGTGTTGGATGATCTATTGGGACCTTACTGGAAAGCTATTTGATTGGCTTTTAACTGCACTTTTCTTCTCTTTGGATCTGTCATTCAACTTACTGTGCCAGGTCCCATTTTTTTTTCTTTAATCAATTCTCAATCTTGATGAACTAATCAGTTGATTTCTGGGTTTTTCTTTCTTTCTTCCCTTTAGTTTTTACAGTAATATATATTACATAAATGATAAGTTAGACAAGAGGACAAGGATTTAAATCTTGGGAGCTTGCTGTGCCCCCACAGTGTTCATCCCTTCATTTCACAAGTATAGAATCTGGTCTTTTCTGGGCCTTGGAATGACCACATACACTGCCTGGTATTTGACGATTGCGGCCCTTGTTCATGGGCAGGTAAAAACGACAAACTAATCTTTCCATAGTTTTTGATTTGATCTTCATCTTTTTCTTATTACTTTTTAACTTGTGTTTTTTCTTTGTCTTGCAGGAAGAAGGTGTAACTCACCATGGTCCAACTAAGTTGGTGTTGTATTTCACCGGTGCGACAAATAACCTCTATACTTTCGGGGAACATGACGTCACTGTGTGAGTCTTATGTTATAGTTACTATGATTCTGCAGTAAAATACATTTAGAAATAATGTTTTACATTGATTACAGGGAGATTATACATGCTATGTGGAAGCCTAAAAAGAATTCAAGTACATATATCTATTTGTGACCTCTATGTGTTCATCTGAACGCTCCCATCGGCTTCCGCCATGTACTGGGCTTTTGGTGATCAACTACTTAATCATTCTAATGCCTTTTCGCTCCTTCCGCGTTCTGGGTGGCCGGATACTGCGTTCATCTTAATGTTAATTCACCTGGTATTTGATGAACCAAATTATTTCTTGGAGATATAGTCTCAGGCACTGTGCAACGGAGCTAATAGATCGAATACCATTACTCTGGGCCCAAACAAATACAACATCGGAGAAAGGAAAATCAACAAAATATTAGAAGAAGCCTTCTCTGATATATCAGAGCCAGGTTTCGATCCTTGGACCTGTAGGTTATGGGCCCACCACGCTTTGGCTGTGCCACTTTGATTGTTGGCTTATTTTCGAGTTTATAAATATATCATTTCTACTTAATACAAATGCTAGCATTGAATGAATATATAGTTGCGAATGTTTTTATGGGTTAGAGAAGAATTGGGGGGGCTACATCTGCTATGACCTGTTTTTATGGCTTCTCCATTCTTTTTACATGCTTTCCACTTCATTTTTCGCACAAAATTTTCCATTTTATGCTTGACACTGATATGAACAAATCTGATTCACATGGTACATAGTGTGATGTTAGAGAGGCAGTGGCTGTGAAAACTTTTGTTTGATTCATTCAAAAAAAGCTGATGATATATAGGTATTTATGTCTATTCTTGGACTTTATGTTTTATGGTTCATTTTGATTTAGGTGGAAAGCTGATGATGAATCTGCTGCCAATTGAAATAGAATTTAGAGTGAACTTAAAGAATGTGTTTAACATGCAAATAAGTACTTGTTTTAAGCCTGGAGGTGGTCATATTTTCAACATTGATGGAGAAACCAATATAGGATTTATGATAATGCTTTGAGCAGATAATTCAGTTGTATTTTTGTGGAGAACTTTCCGTTTAAAAGATAAGAAAACGAATATCTCTATAACTTGCATTGTGCAGTGATATAGGGTTGTCTCAGCTTTATATGTCTAGTACTTCAGTTGTATTTTCCCTTTAAAGGCATTGCACTCTACTTTCCAATTGCCATAAGTAATATGGTTTGTTTTCATGTGAAGTGATGTGTTGTGGAGCATGGCAAGTTTGATGAAGGAAGGATCAACCTTTGTTAGCATGTGGTTTATAGGATTGAAAGATTATGGTATTGCAGCTTAGCTTAGGATATAGTAAATATTTCAACTTCATTTCCAACACATTATCTTTTCTACACATGTTAAGTTTGGTGGTTGTGGTGGGTGAATTTGACAAAATCTGTGCAGGTATATTCATGTCCATTGAATGGAAGAATGAAGAAGATCCAACCTGTAAACTTTCTATATCTCCTAACATCTCATTCCACCATAATTACATTCCCTGAATTCATGTACAAGAAAAGAAACCATTTGATCTACTTCTCCAATCTGAATTGCTTTTACTGATAAAAATTAAAACTTTAACAGAGAAAAGAAAAACTCCAAAAAGAAAAAAACAGATGAAAATCTTCTTTGATCATATCAGAGCCAGTTTTCGATCCTTGGACCTGTGGGTTATGGGCCCACCACACTTCTGCTGCGCCACTCTGATTGTTGGCTAGCTTTATGAAGCTTTGCAAAATTTGTTAATGGTTAATACACATTCTAACAATCTAGGACTTGTCATAATTCATAAATGATCAAGATGATTTCTTCCTTCCTTTCTTTTTTCTTATTCTCAAAGTTGAATTATTTTTGGTGGTGATGTTGCAGGTGGATCAAGTGCCATTAACACTGCCATATATTTTATCTCAAATGGGAATGCTTTCTGGGATTATTATGCATATTTTCTATGGTGTTCTTGGAAGCTGGACAGCATAACTAATCAGTGTTCTTTATATTGAATATCGAAACAAAAAGGAGAAAGAGGATGTCAGCTTCAAGAACCATATTATATATGTTAGCTTTTCAAAGATCACCATCTTCAAATTTTCTAAAAAAAAATGAATAAATTTTTATTTTTTCTTATACATATGCAGTGGTTTGAAGTGTTGGATGATCTATTGGGACCTTATTGGAAAGCTATTGGATTGGCTTTTAATTGCACTTTTCTTCTCTTTGGATCTTTCATTCAGCTTCCTGTGCCATGTCCCATTTTTTTATCTTTAATCAATTCTCAATTTTTATGAACTAATCAGCTGATTTTTGGGTTTTTCTTTCTTTCTTCCCTTTAGTTTATTACAATAATATATATTACATAAATGATAAGTTAGATAAAAGGACATGGATTTACATCTTTGAAGCTTGCTGTGCCACCACAGTGTTCATCTCTTCATTTCACAACTACAGAATCTGGACTTTTCTGGGCCTTGGAATGACCACATACACTGCCTGGTATTTGACGATTGCAGCCCTTGTTCATGGGCAGGTAAAAACGATAAACTAATCTTTCCATAGTTTTTGATTTGATCTTCATCTTTTTCTTATTACTTTTAACTTGTGTTTTTCTTTGTCTTGCAGGAAGGAGGTGTAACTCTCTAAGGTCCAACTAAGCTGGTGTTGTATTTCATCGGTGCGACGAACATCCTCTATACTTTTGGGGAACATGACGTCACTGTGTGAGTCTTGCGTTATAGTTACTATGATTCTGCAGTAAAATACATTTGGAAATAATGTTTTACATTGATTATAGGGAGATTATGCATGCTATGTGGAAGCCTAAAAAGAATTCAAGTACATATATCTATTTGCGACCTCTATGTGTTCATCTGAATGCTCCCATCAGCTTCCGCCATGTACTGGGCTTTTGGTGATCAACTACTTAATCATTCTAATGCCATTTCGCTCCTTCCGCATACTGGGTGGCTGGATGCTGCGGTCATCTTAATGTTACTTCAACTGGTATTTGATGAACCAAATTATTTCTTAGAGATATAGTCTCAGGCACTGCGCATCGGAGCTAATCGATCGAATACCATTACTCTGGGCCAAAAAAAAAATACAACATCGGAGAAAGGAAAATCAAAAAAATATTAGAAGAAGCCTTCTCTGATATATCAGAGCCAAGTTTCAATCCTGGGACCTGTGGGTTATGGGCCCACCATGCTTCCGCTGTGCCACTCTGATTAATGGCTTAATTTCGAGTTTATAAATATATCATTTCTACTTAATACAAATGCTAGCATTGAATGAATATATAGTTGTGAATGTTTTTTATAGGTTAGAGAATAATTGGGGGGGGGCTACATCTGCTATGACCTGTTTTTATGGCTTCTCCATTCTTCTTACATGCTTTCCGATTCATTTTTCGCACATAATTTTCCATTTTAGGCTTGACACTGATATGAACAAATCTGATTCACATGGTACACAGCGTGATGTTAGAGAGGCAGTGGCTGTGAAGAATTTAGTTTGATTCATTCAAAAGAAGCTGATGATATATAGGTATTTATGTCTATTATTGGACTTTATATTTTATGGTTCATTTTGATTTAGGCTGAAAGCTGATGATGAATCTTCTGCCAATTGAAACAGAATTGAGAGTGAACTTAAAGAATGTGTTTAACATGCAAATAAGTACTTGTTTTAAGCCTGGAGGTGGTCATATTTTCAACATTGATGGAGAAACCAATATAGGATTTCTGATAATGCTTTGAGCAGATAATTCAGTTGTATTTTTATGGAGAACTTTCCGTTTAAATGATAAGAAAACGAATATCTCTATAACTTGCATTGTGCAATGACATAGGGTTGTCTCAGCTTCATATGCCTAGTACTTCAGTTGTATTTTCCCTTTAAAGGCACTGCACTCTACTTTCTAATTGCCATAAGTAATGTGGTTTATTTTCATGTGAAGTGATGTGTTGTGGAACATGGCATGTTTGATGAAGGAAGCATCATACTTTGTTAGCATGTGGTTTATAGGATTGAAAGAATATTGTATTGCAGCTTAGCTTAGGATGTAGTAAGTATTTCAACTTCATTGCCAACGCATTATCTTTTCGACACAGGTTAAGTTTGGTGGTTGTGGAGGGTGATTTTGACAAAATCTGTGCAGGTATATTCATGTCCATTGACTTGAAGAATGAAGAAGATCCAACCTGTAAACTTTCCACATCTACTAACATCACATCCCACCATAATTACATTCCCTGAATTCATGTACAAGAAAAGAAACCATTTGATCTACTTCTCCAATCTGAATTACTTTTGCTGATAAAAATTAAAACTTCAGCAGAGAGAAGAAAAACTCCAAAAAGAAAAAAACAGATGAAAATCTTCTTTGATCATATCAGAGCCAGGTTTCGATCCTGGAACCTGTGGGTTATGGGCCCACCTCGCTTCCGCTGCGCCACTCTGATTGTTGGCTAGCTTTATGAAGCTTTGCAAAATTTGTTAATGGTTAATACACATTCTAACAATCTAGGACTTGTCATAATTCATAAATGATCAAGATGATTTCTTCCTTCCTTTCTTTTTTCATATTCTCAAAGTTGAATTATTTTTGGTGGTGATGTTGTAGGTGGATTGAGTGTCATTAAC